ATTGCGGTTCCGCATATGCTTCCCATTATATTTGTTGTGTCAACTTAATAATTACCAATAGATAAACGAGACAAGAAGATGAATTTTAAAATCCGACGATATCTCTCGAAGCTGACAAAGTATCCCATTCTTTTCCATCAGTATGCACTAGTGAGGCGAGCAAGAAGTATCGCGGAAAACCTTAGGTTCCGCGAGAAACCTTCTCGCTTATTCCAAGAGCCTTCACGTGTTGTGGATAATCCGCCGACCGCTGATCAGGTGGAATCCTTCTGGAAAGATATCTATGAACACCCGCAGCCACTCAACTTAGACACTCCAGGCCTAGCGCAGTTTGAAGGTTTCAACAGATAGCTTCGACAGCCTGACCTCAATGAACTACCCAACATGATAACCCCGGATGACGTTCCAAGAGCCCTTTTGGGTTCTAAGAACTTTGCTGTCCCAGGCCCAGATGGGCTAAACATTTATTGGTTGAAAAAATTAACAAGCACCCACCGCCATCTGGCCAGAGTTTTCGACTCATGGCTGGAAGGAGAGCAGCCGATCTCGGATTGGTTTCTCGAGGGGTGGACCGTTCTCATCCCCAAAAGCGGAGATTTGTCGATTCCTGAGAATTACAGACCGATAACATGCTTGAATTCGTGTTATAACTTATTTACAAGCATTTTATACACAAGTGTTACCATGTTAGGAATCACACGTTAAAAGGTAAGACCTCGTTAGTCCTTAGCTTGCACAAGTTTCTCAACTTCTGAGAGTTGTCTTTCGTATGGGTGCGGCAGCTGATTAACGGAAAAACAGATTTTAAACAGACAGACAGATTTTATACACAAGAATACTCACGGCAGTTGACCGAGTGTTCGAACGGATATATGAGCAGAGAGTCAAAGAGAGGAGTTGCTAGATGTGAAGAGAACCTGCTCATCCATAGATGTGTAACGCAGGACTCGATACAATACAAGTGTAACCTCTCTATGGCCTGGATCGATTACCTAAAGGCATTTGATACAATATCGCATGAGCGGCATCTGAACTTCAGAGGGCAAATTGGCAATAACCGATTTTTCAATAGGCACTAGGATCATAATTCGATAACCAATAAAACGAACCGTATTGAATTGATACTCAAATACAAAAATCCAGACATATTATGCTTATCTGAAACTTGGTGTAATGAATCCAGTATGTGTACTATTTGTTTTGATGGCTTTAAAATCGCTTCCTGTTTCAATAGATCCATTAAGGTTCCTGGAGGAGTTATGATTCTAAGAATACCATGAATTTCAAGACTCCATCCTTCGTGAATGGATCAAATGAAGAACTACATTTTCAGTGCTGTTCTATTTCGTTTGTATTACAACAAAATGAATATTGTATTTTCAATATGTGTAGATCACCTGATGGCGATTTGAAGTTATTTATGGAGAAATTGTTTACACTAATGAACTATTGAACACATCGTTTTGACTATGTTATTCTTAGTGGCGATCTAACTATTGATTTCTTAACTGACTCGAGTGATAAATCTTCATAGTACCTACTCAAATTTTCAGAGATAAGAATGGAAAAGTGTCAAAATCCAAACTGGATTATTTTCTAACAAATTATTCTACAGAGTATACAGAGAATGTTATAGACTTGGTTCTTCGTTACCATTTGGGTCTTGATATTGTTTTGAGGAATATCAAAATAAATGTCCTGATTTATAGTATTAGAAATGATGTTAATTTCAAGAACTTATCTGAACAAAATTTGGCTAGGTAACGAAGATTTTCAGCCACATGTTGATGTGGTGTTTAATATGTTTATTGGTATTATAAAACAGTGATTTTCTTTAATGTTCCCCCCTTTTATTTTTTGAACGGGTCAACTCAAAGAATTTAAATTTGGGATAGTGAAATTAATGCATGAATACTTTATNTAAAAAATAATTTGTATGTAAATAATCAAACAAAAACATTCAACACTAAAACATTAATGTTCGAAGGATTTATTAGGTATAACAGTCTACCTGAAAATGTAAAGCCTTCTTCTGTTCAAAAGAAAATTATTAGACCATTTAAGAGACCATCGAGGTATTATGTGATATTTTTTATCTTTTATTCTTTTTTTTGTAATTTCCATTATCGTAGGTAAGACTACTCATCAACAAATATAAGTAGATCTTTTTTGTATTATTGTATTTAAATGTAAATTAATGTTAACATTACTATCATTGTTGTATATATTAGGATGTATCATATTTGAATAAAGCATTCCATTACAATAGCATCTTCTGCCGTCACAATACGCCAGAAGATGGTGGCCAAACTTCGTTTTCGTTTTCCTTCAGACATTTAATTAATTTGACATCAGTTACGTTAATAGTTATATTTCATATGCAACTGTTACACAACGTTAAAATTTCATAATATGCATTTATTCTCAATTGCGTAAATTTCACTCATCCCTATCATATTTTAGGCTCCTACGGAAATTCGTTTGGTAAATGGTACCAGATCTAGTGAAGGCCGCCTTGAGATTAAACATCAGGGAATTTGGGGAACAATTTGCGATGATGACTTCAATGAAGATGCAGCCAAAGTAGTATGCAAACATTTTGGTTTCCGCGGAATGTCTATTGTGAAAAAGGAAGCTTACTTCGGACAAGGTGAATTCTATTATTATCATAATTATGAAGTAACCTCAACAGATTTCCTTCACAATTATAATGGAAAGTTTCAGCCCTTCTACTTACTTAAATTATCACGTTTCAGTTGACGATTATAATTGGTGAATTTTCCTATTCCGGTAGTGGTTATTTACAACTGATTATATTCATAGACGGAAAAAACACTTGAAAAATAAAAAGATAAAAATCTATTTTTCTCTTCTCATATTTACTCACCTTTAAAATCTTTCCTGGACAAATAATTCAAAACCAACATGAGCCAAATCGGTCCAGCCGTTCTAGACTTTTAGCGAGACCGACGACCAGCAATTCATTTGTAAATATTAGATGAATTGAAACGAGATATAGACACTAAAAAACTCATTGATTTTTTTTTTCTATTACTGAAGTACCACGAAGATGTCCGAAATTGAAACAAGAAGTTGCAAATACTTTTTAGGATTCACACAATCTTAGTCGACAAAGTCTTATTTGTCATCTACTGGCGGTTTTTGTTAAGGGCAAACGCACACTACAGACTTTTTATTGGCTTATTAGTATAGGATCGTAATGTGAGTCCGCACATCTAAGCGATTCCAGTCGGCCCACTGAATAATCAGAAACAAGTTGGATAGGCTTCCCAATTCTGATTCAATTACAAAGTTGAACAACTATCGGCCGAGTTCTTATCAGACTGTGTGTTTATGAGAGTGTGCAGACTCACCAATTAAACAGTTGGTGCCTGCAGACTCCCCACTCTACATTCCATTGTTGATATCTGATATCAAATATTATCTAGTACCTACTTTATCTTTGTATATATTTGCGTTTTCATAACATTTTTTTTTCATAATTATGTCTAATATTGCCAATGTTCAGTAGATAATTTAATTGCTGATGTTGAAAAGCGACTTGCATTATATAATAAAGCATTAAAAAAATATTCCAATGTTAATGTAATAGCTTTCCTCGATAACATTCTTCAATACTTTCAATACAACGCGTCAAAATATTATATACATCAACAACTGTTTAGACTTTTCAGTTGGTGGTCTGCGCACCCGCACCGAACCGAACAGTTTTGTTTAAGAAGTGTGCTCACACCCAACCCAACCAGACTAAGACTAAACTATCGGCCGATAGTCTAGTGTGCGCTTGCCCTAAGTGTTCGGAAGTCGACCGACCTTACTCGATAAACTCCCCACTACATAGGTGAAATGAAGTTTGTTACGTGTTCGGAAGTAGACTGTAGGATCTGCTTCCTAATGAATAGTTATTATCAGGGCCGTCGCCATGGGGGGATTGGGGGGAGCCTCCCCCCCTGCTTTTTCGACTTGGGTAAAAGTTGGGAAATTTTGGGCCATGAAGATAGAAATAAATAATAGTATATACAGGGTGTCCCTGGACTTCCTCTTTTCCTCTCGGGAATCTATAGATGGGGTCAAAATATCACCAGTACTTCATATAACTTTTTTTCCTAAAANGTGCATACCCTAACGGGCATAAGCATTCAGCCAATCTTTGGATAGCTAAGTAAGAAAATTAATATATTATAGTAGTAACTACTCCTTCGGCTTTCATTTCTTCGAAAGTTGGGAAATTTTGCTGGTGGGGTTGGGAAAATTTGGATTCCTTCCCCCTCTGGTTTTTCTTTTCGCTACGGCCCTGGATATTGTTGTTGATTTTTACCTAAGTTCATCTTTTTGATTGACCTCTTCCCCCCGTAGGGGTTTGAAATGTTAAATCTAAGGTTTTCACGGATAGAATATGCTGAACTGATTTTAGGGTTTTGATCCGTGTTCTGTGTTATTATCATCACTGTCATCTACTGGTGATTTTTGTTAAGTGTTCGGAAGTTGACCGACCTTACTCGATCCGCTCCCAACTATATAGGTGAAATGGAGTTTGTTACGTGTCCTTACTACTATATAGGTGTTGATTTTTAGCCGAGTTCTTCTCATTGATTGACCTCTTTGTTTTGAATATTGTGTATTGGACCCACTTGATGAAATTGAAGGGATCAGTAAGAGGAGGAGTTGTGTAATATTTTTTTGGTTTCTGGAAAAATGAGTTTGGAGTTTCTTTATTTGCAGCTTCCGTACATAAATAATTGATATTTGAATAATTTGCATTCTCTTAGGTGATATTCAAACCATACGGAAGACCTATATATAACTCCTTTCCTGGTGAATGTAAAAATGTTACATAGTCCCTTCATCCCCGGACCCCTTCAATTGTCATTCAATGTTGTTCAAGGTGATGGGCCAATTTGGCTAGACCAGGTTTCTTGTTATGGAAATGAAACACAACTGGAAAAATGTACCCACTGGAATTGGGGTGAACATAACTGTGAACATAATGAAGATGTTGGTGTGATCTGTTCAGACGAGATCATGGAGGTGGAAGTGCAAAGAAATTCGAAGTTGCCGATACGTTACGAATCTGGTTTACCGAAGAAATGCGGTTTCAGAAAAGACAATCAATTTTTGGAAAATGATTTGATTCATGCAAGAGTCGTGTCTGGAAGCGTTGCAAGAAAGGGAGACTACCCCTGGCAGGTATTGTATTTTTTTTATTTTGAATAACAATTATGAGTTATTGGAAAGTATTTCATATTCAGTCTCAGGTACAGAATCAAAAATCTACTTTTGGAAGTAAAAAAATGGAAGTGTAGATATACTTCTACAAGTGCAGGTTTGAGAAGTGAACTCATGAGAAAAGAGCCTGTTAATATGGAAAAAATCACCATATGAATATTGCGGTTCCGCATATGCTTCCCATTATATTTGTTGTGTCAACTTAATAATTACCAATAGATAAACGAGACAAGAAGATGAATTTTAAAATCCGGCAATTTCCTTATTTTATATGAATCTAGAAAATGCTTTTAAAAGTGACAGGAGGATTCACACAAGCTACTGATTAACGTACCATGAATACCAAAAAGGCCGGGATTACGGCCTTGCGGTTCGGAAGATTGAACGGCGTGTACACAAGATGGATGCTAAGACCACGTCGCCGAGACAACACGCGTCTCGTATCCAATGTGTGATGGATTACAGGGCGGCCAACAGGCTTTCACGCCCGCAGTGCGGCGACTAGCCGCCAAACTACGACGTATCCATCACACCTCAAGTCGAAGCGTGTTGCTGACCACCAAACAACGCTGCCTTAATAGGATATGAATGCTTGTGGCTGCTAAGAAGTCACTAGTGAGGCGAGCAAGAAGTATCGCGGAAAACCTTAGGTTCCGCGAGAAACCTTCTCGCTTATTCCAAGAGCCTCCACGTGTTGTGGATAATCCGCCCACCGCTGATCAGGTGGAATCCTTCTGGAAGGATATCTATAAACACCCGCAGCCACTCAACTTAGACACTCCAGGCCTAGCGCAGTTTGAAGGTTTCAACAGAGAGCTTCGACAGCCTGACCTCAATGAATTACGCAACACGATAACCCCGGATGACGTTCGAAGAGCCCTTGTTGGTTCCAAGAACTTTGCTGCTCCAGACCCAGATGGGCTGAACACTTATTGGTGGAAAAAATTAACAAGCACCCACCGCCGTCTGGCCAGAGTTTTCGACTCATGGCTGGAAGGAGAGCAGACGTCCTCATCCCCAAAAGCGGAGATTTGTCGATTCCTAAGAATTACAGATCGATAACATGCTTGAATTCGTGTTATAACTTGTTTACAAGCATTTTATACACGAGTGTTACCGTGTTAGGAATCACACGTTGAAAGGTAAGACCTCGTTAGTCCTTAGCTCGCACAAATTTCTCAACTTCTGAGAGTTGTCTTTCGTATGGGGGCGGCAGCTGATTAACGGAAAAACAGATTTTAAACAGACAGACAGATTTTATACACAAGAATACTCACGGCAGTTGACCGAGTGTTCGAACGGATATATGAGCAGAGGGTCAAAGAGAGGAGTTGCTGGATGTGAAGAGAACCTGCTCATCCATAGATGTGTAACGCAGGACTCGATACAATACAAGTGTAACCTCTCTATGGCCTGGATCGATTACCTAAAGGCATTTGATACAATATCGCATGAGCGGCATCTGAACTTCAGAGGGCAAATTGGCAATAACCGATTTTTCAATAGGCACTAGGATCATAATTCGATAACCAATAAAACGAACCGTATTGAATTGATACTCAAATACAAAAATCCAGACATATTATGCTTATCTGAAACTTGGTGTAATGAATCCAGTATGTGTACTATTTGTTTTGATGGCTTTAAAATCGCTTCCTGTTTCAATAGATCCATTAAGGTTCCTGGAGGAGTTATAATTCTTGTTAAGAATACCATGAATTTTAAGACTCCATCCTTCGTGAATAGATCAAATGAAGAACTACATTTTCAGTGCTGTTCTATTTCGTTCGTATTACAACAAAATGAATATTGTATTTTCAATATGTGTAGATCACCTGATGGCGATTTGAAGTTATTTATAGAGAAATTGTTTACACTAATGAACTATTGAACACATCGTTTTGACTATGTTATTCTTAGTGGCGATCTAACTATTGATTTCTTAACTGACTCGAGTGATACATCTTCATTGAACCTACTCAAATTTTCAAAGATAAGAATGGAAAAGTGACAAAATCCAAACTGGATTATTTTCTAACAGACTATTCTACAGATTATACAGAGAATGTTATAGACTTGGTTCTTCGTGACCATTTGGGTCTTGATATTGTTTTGAGGAATATCAAAATCAATGTCCTGAATTCTAGTATTAGAAATGATGTTAATTTCAAGAACTTATCTGAACAAAATTTGGCTAGGTAACGAAGATTTTCAGCCACATGTTGATGTGGTGTTTAATATGTTTATTGGTATTATAAAACAGTGATTTTCTTTAATGTTCCCCCCTTTTATTTTTTGAACGGGTCAACTCAAAGAATTTAAATTTGGGATAGTGAAATTAATGCATGAATACTTTATTTTGACGTGAAATCGACAAGATGGCGACTGGGCTCAATCTGGGAAAAAAAATTAAATGAATGGGGGGTCTCATGACACATCTTTTTAAAGTTCCTGACAAATGCTTCACAACCCTAAATATAACGTCAATATCTTCAACTACTACAAAACGGGCGGAACTTTTGATAATTGCCTGAATACATTGACATTTAACTACATAATATGAGGTAATAAGCTTAAGGTCAGTTCAGAAGATGCTCGAAACGGTTGCCTTGAACTTCTTGACATATGAACAGCCTATCCAATATTTCACGCCGAACATTTTCGAACACAGTAACGTCAATATCTTTACAAATATTTATTATTCTCCGCCGTATATCCAGTATTGAAGCAGGTTCAGTTTCGTACACCTTTTGCTTCAAATAGCCCCATAAAGAAAGTCCAAAGGTGTCAAATCTGGTGAGCGGGCTGGCAATCCAACGACCGGGAAAAATAGTATCCAAATACTTTCTTACTTGGGATAATTCTATTATCCCAAATTTCAATTTTTTGAGTTGACCATTGAAGAAATGCACTGTATATTATGTAGATTCGAATTTTCCTCTAACAAAGAAAAAACTAAATAATGTATCCACCCTGGGATTGATCAGTAATGACATTATCAAAATAATTCATCGCATGATGAACATTTCATGAAGTATAAAAGTTTAAAGAATAATTATATAGGCTTAATAGCTGAAGCGAAAAAAGCTTATTATCAAAATAATCTTGAGAATAAAAATGTTCTACAAAAACAGGAATATATATGGAGAACAGTCAGGAAATCGACAATTAGGGACTCGATAAATGAGATTGAAGTTCACCTAATTGTCGTTTTACCTGTTTTTTCTCTGACTGTTCTCCATATATATTAATAATAAAAAGCAGAAGTTAACTGATGCATTTGTTGAATTTTTTTCATCTGCAGCAAAATATGCCATAATCTCGCATTTTAATAGCACCCAATTCAATAAATTTACTTCTATGAATATTAATAATACAGTTCACTTTGCCCCTGTGGATTTTCATGAAGTGTCACATGTGATTGGTTCTTTAAAGAACGTTACATCTGTGAGCATTCGCTATCTCTCAACGAAAACTATAGGACTCATTATTGCAAGTCCTCTTTCAGATTTGATCAACATGAGTGGCAATTGAATATGGCAAATTTCCTAGAGATTGAAAGACTGGTATTGTCACTCCGATATATAATAAGGGCAAACGAACCTTATTAGAAAACTTCAGGCCGGTTACTGTACCAACTGTCATATGTAAGATTTTTGAGACATGAATGCATACCAGGATGCTTGGTTTTCTTGATAAACATAATGTTATAAGCAGGCATCAACATAGAGGCACGGAGAGTGCCTCGGTGGCTTTTCTCGATTATGTACATACTGCATTGGACCGCAAAAGGTTTGTTAGGGTACTTCTTCTTTGACCTTTTTAGAGCATTCCATTCTATAAATATTAATGTTGCTCTGGGCAAATTATCTGAACTGGGATTTCGGAGCATTTTTTGTCGTGGCTTTCATCTTATCTTGAGTATCGGAGCTTACAACAAAATAACATTTTGTTGTAGAAAACGCTAAACTGAAAAAAAAATCATCGAGTTAGATGAAAAACTATGAAAAAGTAATCTGGTTAATGTAACCAGAGGTATCTGTGTTTCGACCCCTTAAGATTTCATTAGTGGTGCTAGGCTGAACAGTAGCTACTGCTAGACTGAACTGTCCTTAAAAGACAAGCCTATAAAAATAAAGTCGCCCTTACTCTCTCTCTCTCTTTCTCATCTTGTGGCATACGCCTCAGTTGTATCTGATGTTAAGTAGCAGCAGAAACTTCAAAAACTTTCTATTTACTGCTCATCACCGGAGTTATGCCATAATTCATTTGCAAGAACTGCTTCTACTCCACCTGAAAACTCGATACGACATCCTATCCAACAACCTACTTTTCAATGAAAAAGCGTAAAATCAATCAGTTTCTTCGAAAGCAACTGTCATGGAATGAATTTAGACAACTTTATGATTTTGCAGGAGATTTTCTTCAATTTCACAACAAACGGCACCTGTGAAACAATTATATAGGCCGTTTCTTTTATCATGTGGTAACATTGCTATATTCTAAACCGTAACAGATACGAAGACGATTAAATGGGAAAAAAGGTAACTGTCTTCGGGAACAATACAGTGGTCTTGGATTGTGTATTTATCGTTTTATAAATTTATGTAATAAAAAAGACAGGTCCGTTTAGAAAAAAAAGTTGATGGTGGCCATGTTGACACGAAACGTTTTGTCGAATATTTATTATCACATCGTCATAGTACACTTCGAATACAATAACATTTTATTTTTCCATTTTTTGACATTCTCCGAAATAACAATTCCTTTCGAAAAAAACTAAAAACAGTATTTTTGGTTTTCTCCGTATAACTCGAGATGTGCGAGAGTCCCCGTTAATTTTCTTCCACCATTCTATTGTTCCCGATGACAGTTACCTTTTCTCTCATTTAATCGTCTTTATATCTGTTACGGTTTAAAATATAGCAATGTTACCACATGATAAAAGAAAGGGCCTGTATGTAACGAGTCTGTTTATTCAGTCTATTGATTTTTATTACTGAAAAACATATTTGTCCTAGACGTATAATTCTTGAAACTGAAAAAACAAACTCAAATTTCCATCTATTGTCTCAATCTGATTTCGGTTTTCGTGGTTTGCAATGAATGATATAAATATACAGTTATGTCACCGAGAGTGTCAACAATACAAAAAGCCAATATTTTGAAATGTATATTGAAATTTTCGTATTTCATTTCAGGCGGCCCTAAAAATAAAAGTAAAAGAAACTTCCGTTCATTGGTGTGGAGCAGTTATAATATCGAGTAAATGGGTTCTTACGGCCGCTCACTGCCTTCAAGGGTATACTAAAGGAGCCTATATAATAGTTGCAGGTGAATATAATACTGATGAAGATGAGGGAACTGAACAACAGAAGTATATTGAAGAATTCTTCATCCATGAAAGGTTCAGGAAAGGACACAAGATGAATAACGATATAGCATTAATTAAAGTTAAGGGAGGGGGTTTTGCCTTGAATGATGACGTTCAACCTATTTGCTTGCCCGATACTGATGTTTCTTATGATCAAGATCTGAACTGTACCATTTCTGGTTTCGGCTCAGTCAAGAGTGGCATCTCAGGTGAGTTGGCATCATACGAATTGACGTTGAGAATAAGTCAAAAACTTTTCTACACATTTGTCTAAATTATTTTTTTTCCATTCTCGGAGATGTAGTTGGATATATGTAGTAGAGTTGAGTATTTTTTCATTTCTAGCGTATTCACACGATATGATGGCTGCTTGGATACCCATTCATTCGAACGACATATGTAAAATGCCTCATATTTATGGTAGTGCATTAGCAGAAGGTATGTTTTGTGCTGGGTTTCTAGATGGAGGAATTGATGCTTGTGAAGGGGACAGTGGAGGACCTTTGGCCTGTCTAGAACAAGGTACTTTCTCATATGATTAGTACCCGAAATAATTGATAATCGTCCATCTTTCTTTTGCAAATTATCAAATCTTGAATTTTCTGAGGAAATCGATAAGAAACATTTTGATCACAAAAATGTGTTATTATTATACGGTCGGAGTCACGAATCGTTCGGTACTGAGACTACGAGTAGTAGTATATAGTAAACGGAACGTTTGGACTTCATATTCCATTCGAAAGTATCATATTGTACGACTCATTCATCATTGAAATACTTGTTTTGGTGATTTAATGTTATGATTTACATTAAATTTCATCTTGAAAATTTACAATTCATATATGAAATGAATGCGGAAACATGATGGGAAGCTGAGTGTTCCAATTCGGAAAAAATCATATGGAACATCTTGCGGAACAGGGTTTCACTTGCCAAAAAAATCCTTGTAAATCACGCGTTTTGAGTAGAATCATATGTATTTATTTCATTACATGAAATTAAAAAAAGCTGTTGAGAGTGTCAAAGTTTCACTATGTCGCCTGAAAAATAAAAAATATTTATAATTTGCCATGCATGTGACTATATTTTCAGACTGATTGAAAATAAAAATGTTCGTATTAAACAAAGCAATGTATCTACACTTCCCTTCTCTAGACCCTGAAACTGATTCATGAAGCTTAACTCAATTCAAACTTTTCAACAGCAATGATAGTTTTAGTGCATTATTATTGTGAAATTCTTTTTTCTGTTCGAGCTTTCGATACTATTGTGGTTTCTCTATCGAGAACTCTACAATTATCAATTAAATTTAAATAATTGTAATTGTATAGAAAACTATCATATTGATTAAGAAAGTGGGGTTAAAATGTAGATAGCAAAAATGTAACATAGAGCATCATTATATGTCAAGAATAAAATCATTCATAAACATACACATAAATATACAGCGTGACTCAAGGTCGATGGTAGTTTAGACGTTTCTGGAAAACGCAATGCATAATTTTTCTGAATATTTCACCTCTCACATTTCCTTACCTGTTCTATCGATCTGAAATATTTTCAGCAATGCGGCGTTGCCACTTCTATCAAAAAGTCCTAGCAATTATATTTTTTTTAATGGAACACCCAGTATATTAATACTTTTTTTTTATGATGTACCATACCTATCTCTATCTGTTTTCGAGATGAAAAATAAATTGTGCTAAATATGCTTCAAAACATAGCCTTAATTGAAAATAAATACATCAGTACTCTCTATTTATAAAAAGTTGATATTTTGAAGATAGTTTGGACAAACTCGAAATATTCAAATAACACCAAGAAATCGACTCCATATCATACAGGGTGTGCTGAAATTACTATTATTTCCATTGTGCATAAAAGTAGTGAAAAGTTCATTGAAACCCCCTGTATATTACTCTATAAATTGAAAGATGGTGAAAAATGCTTCAAGATGATATATCATGTTCCTATACATAAATTGTCAAGTTTTCTCAATAAAGTCACTTCTTCTAGAAACATTATTTTTTTTTAGAATTTGGATTTAGGTAGCAGTGGAATTATCAAGCTTATAGCAGTTCGGTTACTTTTATAAGTAATTTACAAAGAGTTATCGACGGTGTTTCGAATCATCTTCCAAAATGAATGCAA